TGGCACTCACCTGAATTACTCACCCCACGATGCAGGGCTCTGACCCTGTACATACCTGGCATTCTCTTGCTTCTTGGCCTTTGTTCCTGTTATTCCCTTTGCACAGAATAGCTCCCTGAACGATTGTCACTCCATATCCCACCAGACTTTAAATAGAGAAAAAGTCTCTCTCTCCCTCCCCGCAAATGCTAGGTCATTTCCAGTGTTCAATAAACGATAGTTGAATAAGTAAATTAAGTAAAATAATTAAATAAAGCCAACATTAACAGGGCCCTTGGAGGTTGGATCAAGGTAGACATACAATTTTCTTTTTTTCAAATTTTAGTTACCCAATTAATATATGCATGTATTTTATTTTATTTTTCATTAGAACAAGCTAAATTAGGAAAATTTGATTGAGCTAAAGTCCCCTTTAACAACACCCTCAATCCTGGTTCCTTCTTTTAAGGACCAAACTTATGAGTTTGGTGTGTATTTTATCAGACTTCTATTTTGTGCTTTTATATACAGTATGTGTTGTATTGTTTGGAGGGAAGGAGAGAGATTTTTCAAAATGAAGTGGTTTCAGACTGTACCTGCCACCAGTTCCTCTAACCTAACAACATGTTTTGGGATCTGTCAACTTTGATGTGCGCGGACACAAATATTCACTCCATGTTTCTCCGTGGGGGAGTGATTAGCATTCTGAGCGGGACAATTCTCAGTTGTTCAGGACTGCATCAGCCATCAGCGGGTGGTAATCATTCCTGGTGCCCCCTCACAATGTGTTGGTAGCACCCAACCCCCTGCCTTTAGCATTTGGCAACCAACAACGCTCTTGGCTTTTCAAACTCTTTCGGTTAACTTTTAACATAATCTCATCCTATGAGCACTCACTGCACTGCACTTATCTGTCATCTCACTGTTGGTAGATATTTAGGATGGCTCCTAATTTTTATTCTCACAAACGCTCTGCAGTAGACACCTTAATTCACACTTCCTTCTGTGTACGTGTGAGTGTTTCACTAATAAGCCACCAGAAGTGGAGTCTCTGGTCATGTGTGCATGTCCAGTTACACTAGATGTGCTAAGTTCCCCTCCAACTTAAACACCTGCCAACAGTAGATGATAATATCCAGGGCCCCCAAGTTCTCCAGTACTTAATGCTAATCCTTCAATTTTAGCAGATCTGGTGGATTACAAAAGCACTGCATTGTTGTTTTAATTTGCATTTTTCTGATTAATAGTGAGACTGTTTATTTGAAATACATATTTCCTCTTCTGTGAAAGACTTTCATTTTCTCTTCTGTATGTGTACATATTTTAATTTTTACTACATATGCTTTATAATCAGAAAAAAATAATGCACACTTTAAAAAATAACTTACATATTCTTCAGGGCTTACTTAGATGTTGGGTCATTCAAAAAATGGCCTTGATCTTTCTTCCTATAACCCCCATTGGATACTTTACTCTCTCTTGGATGTAGTTTGCAAAGTACTTGTCTTACCCTCTTGACTAGATTAATGGTTTCTTGAGGCTCGGCCTGGGTTTGTGTTTCCTTTGACCTGCCTAATACGATGCCTTGCACAGATTTGAGCTTAATAGATAAAGATTTATAAAGTTAAATGATAGAAGGTAGAGAAGGTTAACTGTGGGAAAACTACCAGCTGAATAAGACTGTATTTTCAACCTTTCACTCTTTATGTACACAGTCTTGAACCATCCTTACCAAAGATGGACATATTCCTGCAAAGGGTATGTAATGTTATTTGGCTTTATAGTCACTTCCCTGGAAGATATGCTGATCTGAAGTTCCTAGGAAAGGATACTTAACTCAATTAAGACAAGGAGTTTAGGTATTTGTGGAAGAGTTGTTTGGGGAATGAGGGTCCTAATTGCCCTGCAGACTTCATGAAGCGTAGGTGGCTGCCTGGCAGCCTCTGTCTTAGGTTTGCCCAGGCCCAGGACTCCATGAAAACTGTGACAGTGATGTTGACTCAACCAAGTGATGTTTCTCACCCAGAAATTAACACTCCCTGAGATGTTCCAAATTAGAGCAAAGTGTGATCCTTCTTGCTTTATATTCAAGGATTTCTTATGTGTTTATGATATATAGCTACTGTTTAAAAGATTACCATAAAAAAGTTCTCAGTAAAAGCTGCCGCCAAGCTAGAATGATCAGAATTCTGTAAATGCTTTAGACAGACATCAGATCTTGTTGAAAAGAATCCCAAGGAATGTCCAAATTCTTTACATTTTAGAATTTTGTTGATCAAATTTTGTTGCTTCAAGGGACTTCCCTGGTGGTCCAGTGGTTAAGACTCTGTGCTTCCAATGCAGGGGGCGGGGGTTTGATCCCTGGTTGGGGAACTAAGATCCCACACACTGCGCGGCCAAAATAAATAAATAAATTTATAAATAAATTTATTTATTTATTATAAATAAATAAACAAAAGAAAGAAAGAAAAAATTTTTGTTTCTTCAAATAAGTAATCTATTGGCTCAAACTGAATGGTTTGCTGAAATGTTCATTCAAAAAATAATTACAAAGGCAAAATGTATTTAAGAACTTGTGACCTCGTAGAGATTTCACTTATCAAAAGGAATTAGAATTTTGTCTGTAAACAAACCTGACGTTTTTGATAGCTTCACTTTTAGCTCCTCCAATTGTCCTTCTTTTTTTAAAAAAAAAAAATGAGGTATAAGTGACATACAACATACTAGTTTTAGGTTCCAATTGTCTTTTGTAGGAATTTCATTCCGTGAAGATTTGAGCATGTCTGGGAATTAGTCGAATGAATGGGTAAATAAGTCAATGGGATTTCTTATAAAATGCTTCGCCTTGCCATTGCTTTCCGCTAGCAAGCACATTTCTAACACAGGACGGAGGCATCTCTGCCCCAAAGAGGAAATGTGCTAAAGAAGCAGATATCAGCAAATGCAGATTTAGAAAACAGATAGCTCGGAGACCTATGTAGAAACTTCCTTCTACATTTGGTCTTACGTTTAATTTTTATTATCAGGTGAAAATATCGTGCCACAGGGACATCCCAGTAGGATCCCTCACCCCCAGAGCAGGGGTCTTCCTTGTACACCATGCACATCTCTTTAACAGTACTTAGTTCACTGACATTACCAATATTTGTGTAACTGCTTGTGTCCCCTTCCCCTCCACTGCCCTGGACTGTGGGTCCCTTGCAGCAGCTACTGTCCCCAGGACCTAGCTTTCTGTTATCTGCAGTAAGTTGAAAGTAATAAGCAATTATATTTGAGCAACAAGAAAATCACGCCCCAGCAGATACATCGCAAGTTATGGCTTTGTGGATCTCAATGGCTTCATGACAACTCCTAATGTGTTTTGAGCCCTGCTGTTTGCCAAGCCCGTTTTGACCATTTCATATGTGTTAATGTGAACAGGACTTACAACTGGCCCACAAGGTACAACTGTTACTAATTCTATATTAGAGGTGAGAAAACGGAGACTCGGATTGGTTAGGTAACTTGCCCACAGTGGTACAGCTAATAAGAGGTGCCACCCAGATCGGGACTCAGGCAGATTGACTGCAGAGCCCACAATCCTCATCACCACACTGAACTCTCTCCACCAGCTCATTAAAAAGAATGGGAAAAAACTGTCATTAGGAAAAGGAGTGAGGTGCACAACAGTGTGCCTGGAATGCTCTTATTTCCATAGAACTGCGGTAGCTTTATGTTCATTATGTTTTCTTTTGAACTACGTAGATTTCTTTTTCTACTGTGGATATATGTTACCTTTTCTGATGTGTTTCTGTTTTCTGGGTTTTATTTTTATTTTTTAATTATTTTTTTGGCTACATTGGGTCTTCGTTGCTGCATGTGGGCTCTCTCTAGTTGCGGCAAGCGGGGGCTTCTCTTGCTGCGGAGCATGGGCTCTAGGCGTGCGGGCTTCAGTAGTTGTGGCACGTTGGCTCAGTAGTTGTGGCTCGCGGTCTCTAGAGCGCAGGCTCAGTAGTTGTGGCTCACGGGCTTAGTTGCTCCGTGGCATGTGGGATCTTCCCAGACCAGGGCTCGAACCCATGTCCCTTGCATTGGCAGGTGGATTTTTAACCACTGCACCACCAGGGAAGCCCTGTATTTTGTTTCTTAAAACGCATACATCAGTTTGAATGTCCTTGGGACTTCCCCAGCTGTGCAGATATTTGTCAGTTTGAAACAATATTGGATGGGGCTTGCATCTCAGTATAAAACATCTGAATTCCTTGTGCTCAACTTCATTTCCCTCATGACAACGGACTCTGGTATGACAGCTCAGTGGTTTTCTACACTGCAAAAGGTGGTACCACACTTTCGAAAGAGAGTGTGAGAGAGAGACCAAAAGAAAGAGAGAAAATTGGCCCAAGCCTATTCTTATGGTTATTTTTGACTTGTATTTAAAAAAAACTTTCTGTCTACAAAGTAAAGTGTGTGTTTGTTTGCTAGGACTGCAACGACAAAGTACCACAAAACGGGTGGCTTAAACAGTGGAAACTGATTATCTCACAGTTCTGGAGGCTAGATGCCCGAAATCAGTGTGTCAGTAGGGCGGGCTCCTTTGGAGGGCTGTGAAGGAGGATCTGCTCCAGCCCCCGCCCTCCTTGACTTGCAGATGGCCTTCTTCGTGTTCACGCGGCATTCTCCCTGTGTGCAAGTGTGTCTAAAGTCCCCTTTTCACAAGAGGACACCAGTCCTATTGAATTAGGGCCCACCTTAATAACCGCATTATAACTCGCTGAAGACCCTATCTCCAAATAAGGCCACATTCTGAGGTATTGGGGCTTAGCACCTCAACAGGGTACAATGCAACCCATAACACCCTGCGATTAGCCAACTCTCTCCTTTCCCCTTCAGCCTCATCCAGCAGTTTCCTTTTCTTAATGTTTCGGCTCAGAGTTTGGTCTCGGGCCTACCAGAGTGGAGAATATTGCTGAGAGGAAAACCCAGTGCAGGAAGAGTCCCCCTGTGGTTCACCCTGAGTGAAAGCGCTGCTCTCTCCTCTGCAGGTGGTACCATGGTAACCTCACCCGACATGCAGCCGAGGCTATCCTCCTCTCCAATGGGTGCGACGGGAGCTACCTTCTGCGGAACAGCAATGAAAGGACAGGGCTGTACTCTCTCTCTGTGAGGTAGGATGCGTAAGAACTCCATAAATTCAGTGGGGTCCCACCTCTTATTTACAGGGCCACTGACTTCATGGTCACACTCAGATTGCCAGAGAACCGAATTCTCTTGATTCCTGCTAGACCAGCAGGTCCGAGGATGCCAAGCTCTGAGTGGTGAGCCTGCAAAACACATTCTTGCCCCTTCCATTGGTGGGGAAAAAAATGTTAGAGCTGAAGGAGATTTTATGAATTGTTTAATCCAGAACTCTTGCTTGACTGATGAAGAAACTGAAGCCTGAAGTGGTAAAGTGTCTTCCACCCGATAAATTAGTGATAGAAACAGCACCAGAATCACATCCCTGAAACCTGGTCCGGTGCCCCTTTCACTATTCCTTGCTTCCTCTGGAAAACCAGAATGACTTGTGGCTGTGCAGTTTTCATAATCACAAACTCAAGCAGGCAGTATGCAACTTTTAGTTTTTTTCTATAAATGGACTGACCTTCTTTCTTGAATTTCCATTTCACCTATTAAGAAAGTTAATCTAGGGCTTCCCTGGTGGCGCAGTGGTTGAGAGTCCACCTGCCGATGCAGGGGACACGGGTTTGTGCCCCGGTCCGGGAAGATCCCACACGCCGCGGAGCGGCTGGGCCCGTGAGCCATGACTGCTGAGCCTGCGCGTCCGGAGCCTGTGCTCCGAAATGGGAGAGGCCACAACAGTGAGAGGCCTGCGTACCGCAAAAAAAAAAAAAAAGTTAATCTAGTCCCCACCATGTATGCCCTGCTCAAAACAGTGATTGTCCTTCCAGGGTTTCTCTCCCATCCCCTTGCTCCTGGTTGGCCTCCCTTTCAGAGAAGGTGACCTAGTCACGTGATAATCAGGGGGAGTCATTGGTTATCTGTCAGCATCTGTCACCTTGGCGTCCACTGACACGTAGCAAGTCTTTCTGGGTTCACAGGGAGTTGTCCCTGGGTCAGAATGGTGATGTGAGGACTCCATGTAATTGCCCTCGGCCACCCAGGCAATAACCTCAAACCATTATTGTTTTATTTTATTTACAAATTTTCTAAAAAACATTTTTGGGAAAAATATTCACCAAAAATAGAATTCTGCTTTGGGGGAAACAGGAATTGTGCTTTCTCAAATCAACAGCAAGTGTTAACATTACATTAAAGTGGTTAGATTGTTGATCCTTTATTGCATGGATCTCCCCCAGATCTCAAACAAATCTGTGGAATTGTTGGCTAAAAGAATGTTAACTTTTCACTTTTGTATGTCTCTCCTGAACAATTATAAGCTCCTTACAAAGAGATGATATATATATTACATCTATATACAAAGTTAAAATATAAAATATTAATTTCCATTACAAGCACTTGGAAATGCTTTAAAAAATAATAACCACCAGCAAAAGTAAGAGGAATCACAGACCAGCTCAGGAGAATCATTGTTTTTATTCGTTCGGTCATTCGCTTCCTTAATAATAAATATTTCAAAGCATCCGTTCTGTGCCTATCACTTGGGTAGAGGATTCAAAGACCTTGACATCAGGAAGCAGAGCCTCACAGGGGCAATAAGACCATATCCAAATACCTTACTACAAAGTAGAGCGCTGTAAATGCCATGAAAGAAAACAAGGTAAGTGCTTGGGTTGTTGAGAAGAGAAAAGGCAAGTAACTCAAGCCGGAAGTAGCAAGCAATGTTTGATAGAGTAAGTGGCATTTGAACTGAAACTTGATCAGGAACAAAGTGGAAGAAGTCACAGGTGAAGGGAGCTGTACGAGCTAAGGGACAAAGGCAGAAACTCCTAGGAGAACAGTAGGCGTGGCTGGACTACAGCAGTTCCCAAGGTGTGGTCCCCAGACCAGTAGCATCACCAGAGAGCAGGTTAGGGATACAGATCTCAGGCCCCACCCCAGACCTACTGAATCAGGAGCTCAGGGGGTAGGATCCAGAAATCTAGGCCCTGAAGGTGATTCTGATTTCTGATGCTTGCTAAAGTTGGAGCATGCCCTGCAAGGGAGGAAGAACGGAAGTGAGGCTTGAAAGATAGGACTGGGTCAAATCAAGTATATATATATATAAATTTTTAAAAATTTAATTCTCTGCCTTATTCCAAAAATGAAGTGGAGAATGACAATGTAGGAAATCTGATATTTTATTCAACAGGCAGTGGAATAGGCATGGGAGGCAAAGGGCTGGGCTCACATAACTGATTAAGTGACAGAAGCAGAATTTGGATTGACTCCCAAACAAGTAAGGGAGGAGGGCCTGGCACAGAGAAGAATACGGGAAGGGAGTGACTTGCCATTTCTATCATCTCTCTTCCTGCCCTTCTTAAACTCATGCCCCTTAAGAGGTTAATGTTCAAAGACTCGTTCGGCAAGTCAGAGAAGACACAGGGAGCACCGGCTCTTGTCTTTTATTAGAATGAAAAATTGAGAGCACGCTCTGCCCGAAGAAACCAGCGCTGTTCTTTAAGTGCCAGTGGTTTCAGTGATGGTGTCATAACTCTCAGCTTTTAGAAGGGTTTAATGATGATGCTAATGCCTAAGGTTACATTCCCCTTCACAAAAGATACTCATTTCTTAAATAATGTTAAACATTTTTTTCCCTTTTAGAGCCAAAGACTCCGTCAAACACTTTCACGTTGAATATACTGGATATTCATTTAAATTTGGCTTTAATGAATTCTCATCTTTGAAAGATTTTGTCAAGCATTTTGCAAATCAGCCTTTGATTGGAAGTGAGACAGGTAAGCTATGAACAGATACTTGACCTGTGAGATATCGTTTCAGGATGGAGGCAGGACAAAGTGGATTTCAATTAAATAGTTGTCACTTCTATCGAATTATGTGCATACTATATGCAACTGGATATGTTTAGAAACTTTTTTCCAATTACAGTGCCATATGCTACATTAATATATATATATATGTCAGTATGTTAGTATTATTTTTAGGAGAAAACAATGTGCCTTGTGCAAAATAGGTATTTTTCTCAGAATGTGTTATTTAATGGATTGATTAAAAGCACACATTCCTTTAAAATGACCTATTTGTTTTATAATGATATATACAGTAAACAAAGAAAGAACAAAGGAAAGAACAACTTTTTGATTCCTCAGAAGTTTAGGTATGAGAAGTTTGCATACTGGGGAGACCCAAAAATGATCATTTTGAGCAGTTTTTGAGCATTTTAAAATGAAATGCAACTTCCCAACGATCACTGAATACTAAAAATACTGACTAGAAATTACTCTCCTGAACAATTTCTCAATTTCATCATAAAATTCTGTTTCTCTTGTCTTGGTTTCTGATGTTTTTACATGGCACTTAAGTATGGCTGGAAATAGTTTAAAATTTCCTTTCTGGGTGGTTAGAGTCAAACCAGAAAATTCAAGTTAAAAAACAAACACACTCGCTTGGTATTTAAATTATCTAACTCATTTGTCTATACTATTTAAATAAAGTAAAAGATTTCCTATGTATTTGTGACACAGAATCACAATTTTATATGTCCTAAATGTTGATGATTCTCAGTTAATCAAAAGTTGGACAGTTCCAAGAACCAAGCACAAGAGGAATTCAAGCCTTAATAGCAGAGTCAGTTGCTGCGAATTTGTACACACTCATTTTCATGGTAAACTTGGTTAGTGGGCTTTTTGTTGATCACACTGGAAGAAATGCCACCAGTGCTGCTATTTCTGTGGCCTGAATAGACCCTGATATGACTCACACAGATTCAAGGAAAGACAAAAAGCACAGTGGAAACCACAAAATAGTTGACTTACTTTATACTGACCATACAAGGTCTTTGATAGATTATTTCAAACCGTAAAATTGAAGCAATCATCTTTTTTTTTCTGGTGGAAATTCTCCTAATCAACCCTGAAAATTACTTTAACCAGCAATAATTCTCATAAACAAAGGGCAAGTGGTAATGATTTTATTTCCTTTGCTACTTTGGTCTTGGCAAGCATTTCAATTTCAAATCCCTTCCCTTCAGACTTATTTCTTACTTGTGTTCCAATCTACACTCATTTTCGTTCAATTCTTGGTCACTGGCAATGGAGAGGAGACGTTGAAGCCAAGGGCTCTGTTTTGTCTACTTCAATTTTTGTCCTTCTCTGTGTCTCCCAGGTCCTGGTACAGTGCGTGGTGCTTTGGGTGAGTGAATGAATAAATGAATGAATGATGACTGTAAGTTGCAACTCTTTGTATCCTTCAGAGCCATTACCATCGTTACTTTCCAGCCTCCTCTTCTCTCGCCAAGCAAAATCAGCTCCCTTCTTTTAAACTCTCCCTCTAGACTCTATTTTCAGTATCTCTGGTCATTCTCCGTACTCCTTTCCAGACTTCCTCCAAGTTAGGAAAAAGTACATATTCTGCCTACTAGCAGGTTTCAAAACCCCCTTTTTTTTTTTAAGTTTTTTTGTTTTATTTTAAATTCTTTTTAATTGAAGCATAGTTGAAGTACAATACTATATGTTACAGGTGTACAATACAGTGATTCACAATTTTTAAAAATTTTATTCCATTTATAGTCATTATAAAATATTGGCTATGTTCCCTGTGCTATAGAATATATCCATGTAGCTTCTTTGAAGCACAATAGTTTGTACCTCTTAACCCCCTACCCCTATACTGTCCCTCCACTCTTCCCTCACCCCACTGGTAACCGTTAGTTTGTTCTCTATGTCTGTGAGTCTGCTTCTTTTTTATTATATTCACTAGTTTGCTGTATTTTTTAGATTCCACATATAAGTGATATATAGTATTTGTCTTTCTCTGTCTGACTTATTTCACTTAGTATAATGCCCTCCAAATCCATCCATGTTGCTGCAAATGGCAAAATTTCATTTTTTTATGGCTGAGTAGTATTTCATTGTGTGTGTATATGTATATGCCACATCTTTGAGATCAAAGTGAATGCAGTACTTTCCGGTTGAGCTTTTCTGGCACTGATCCGATCACTAGGTGAAACGATCACCTAAGACCGCACCAAAGTAAAGGCTCCTCAGATTACATTTGGGTCAATATTAAGCTTCCCAGCAAACAGATTAATCTGACTAAAGAAGGTTTGTGATTAATGCAATAGGGATTATAAAGATTTGTAATCCAGGCACCTATGGGAGTTTTCTTCAAAGTGACGGAGGGCGGGTGGTGGTGGTGTGATGAATTGGGAGATTGGGATTCACATATATACACTAATATGTATAAAATGGATGACTAATAAGAACCTGCTGAAAAAAGAATGAATACAATAAAATTCAAAACTTAGAAAAGAAAGCTGAAACTTGCTGTAGCCTTATCATCACTATAATTGTTATTTTATTTATTGCAATAAAACTTAGGAAACTGAGATTTTTGCTCTCCATTGCCTCTCCTCTGTTCTATTCATTACCCAGTTGGGAATTTGTTGCTATTTAAACCCCTGCTACAGACCCTGGGTGCTGATAGATATATACTTGACAAACTGGCTCCCAGCTCTTGAGTTAGATCCCAGTAACTCTGAAATATTCCTCTTATCTGTCCCTGCCAGCTGAAGGTAAAGCCACCAAAGCTGGGAACAAGGGGCAAAACCCATGACATATGAGCTTCCGTTATGCCCTCTGGGAGTAATAGGCCTCAGGAAACAAGATAACCTGCTGAAGCTATGATGGCTTTTAAGCCCAGATGGTCCTTGGAAGTCAGGGAGTCAGCAGTGTGACCTATGAATAACAGTGAATGGAAACTGGGATTCCATCTTCTAAAAACAGATCTCTTCTTGTTCATTTAAGAATTGGTTCCTGGGGACTTCCCTGGTGGCACAGTGGTTAAGAATCCGCTTGCCAACGCAGGGGACACGGGTTGGATCCTTGGTCCGGGAAGATCCCACGTGCCGCAGAGCAACTAAGCCCTTGCACCACAACTACTGAGCCTGCGCTCTAGAGCCCGCAAGCCACAACTACTGAAGCCCGGGCACCTAGAGCCCATGCTCTGCAACAAGAGAAGCCACCGCAGTGAGAAGCTGGCGTGCAGCAATGAAGACCCAACGCAGCAAGAAAGAAAGAAAGAGAAAGAAAGAAAGAAAGAATTGGCTCCTGAAGAAAAGGGGAACCCTCCCACACTGTTGGTGGGAATGTAAACTGGTACGGCCACTATGGAAAACAGTATGGAGATTCCTTAAAAAACTAATCATAGAACTACCATATGATCCAGAAAGTCCTACTCCTAGGCATATAGCCAGACAAAACTGTAATTCAAAAAGATACATGCACTCTACATTTATAGCAGCACTAGTCACAACAGCCAAGACATGGAAACAGCCTAAATATCCATCAACAGACGAATGGATAAAGAAGATGTGGTACATATGTACAATGGAATACTACTCAGCCGTCAAAAAGAACAAAATAATGCCATTTTGCAGCAACGTGGTTGGACCTAGAGATTATCATACTAAGTGAAGTAAGTCAGAAAGAGAAAGACCAATACCATATGATATCACTTATGTGTGGAACTGAAAATATGGCACAAATGAACTTATCTATAAAACAGAAACAGACTCATAGACATAGAAAAATGACTTGTGGTTGCCAAGGGGAAGGGAGGGGGATGGACTGGGAGTTTGAGGTTGGTAGATACAAGCTATTACATTTAGAGTGGGTAAACAACAGGACCTACTTTGTAGCCCAGGGAACTATATCCAATCTCCTGGGATAAACCATAACGCAAGAGAATATTTTTTAAAAGAGTGTGTATATGTATGTATGGCTGAATCACTTTGCTGTGCAGCAAAAATTAACACAACTTTGTAAATCAACTGTACTTCAATTAAAAATTTAAAAATTTAAAAAATTTAAAAAGAACTGGCTTCCAGTGATCAGGAGACCTCCAGGCTGATGATTCCTTCTTCACCATCAGATGAAGTGTAAATTCTTATTACAAATTTTGGTCGGTTAAGGATCACCGGGGGAAACATTTGTCTGCACGATGGATGAGGTCCTGCCAGGATTCTGACCTCCAGATGCCCAGAATGGGAAGGACTAGAACTGGGTATTTCAGGCCACTCTGCAGACCAGCCCAGACCCACTCAGGCCAGCCTCACCCTCCAGGGCCTGGAGAGTGAATTTATTTAAGAGAGACTTTCTCACACTCATTCACAGGCAGGAATGGCATCACCTTTGAGGGCAACAGGGAAGATGTCCAAATAAACAACAACCGTACACTTTTGTCTTACAATTTTAAATCTATTTAATGTCTTCAGTAGAGTGAAACCAGAATTCTTGGTCCTGGGTCATAAGAAAATATCTGCTCTCAGGATAGCTAAAAAAGTGTTAACCTAAAGGGATGAATACTCTTTTAAGATTTCTTTTTCCTATTTTATTCCTATTATTTAAACTCCCAGGATTTCTGCCTCCTAAGCTAAAGAATGAAGATTTTGTAAGCAAGGTCTAACCCTCCTGACAACTTTAAGATTCTATTATTATGGGCTTCCCTGGTGGCGCAGTGGTTGGGAGTCCGCCTGCCGATGCAGGGGACGCGGGTTCGTGCCCCGGTCCGGGAGGATCCCACATGCCGCGGAGCGGCTGGGCCCGTGAGCCATGGCCGCTGGGCCTGCGCGTCCGGAGCCTGTGCTCCGCAACGGGAGAGGCCACAACAGTGAGAGGCCCGCGTA